AAATAAAAATTACAATGTTCTAAAAAATACTAAATTTCCAAAAAGGTGGGAAATGAGACAGGAACAAAAACAGGGGGTGGGGCAGATAGAAAACATACAATAAAATGGTAGATCGAGGTTCAACCATATCAGTAATCACATTAAACTTTAACAAAATAAACACTGCAATTAAAAGGCAGAGACTGTCAGAGTAGATAGAACAAAATAGATGCAACTACAAACTGTCTACAACTGCATTTTAAATGTAAAGACAAAATTAGTTTAAAAGTAAATGAATTTTTAAAATGCCAAGCAAAATACTTATAAGAAGGGAGGAATGGCAATATTAGTATCACATGGATTCAAAGGAAAAATTATTATATAAAAAAGATATACGAGACTGCGTTGCCAGCACTGGAGGTGGGAGGGAAGGCGCAAAAAGCAGAGCACTCTCCCTTTCCTTCCCATCTTTGAGTCGGGGCAGTGCCTTGTACCTTATGTAGTCAGACTGGGGGAGCGTGTGGGTCCCCCTCTGCTCCAGCCTCCAAGGATAGAGACAGGCTTTAGGGTGAGCACCTCCCTTTGTCAGCAGGTAAGAGACCAGGGGGCACAGGCCACAGCAACTTTCAAGACACGGCCTATGGCCCTGAGGCAGCTGCTGATTCTCCCGTGGAGGTGTACCCACTGGATTTCACACTGCAATCTCGCTCTCTCTTCTCTCTCGGTCCCCCACCCGGACTCTTTTTTTCTTTGACTAATTCTTCCACTGTCTTCTTTAATTCTTCAGCAGAAGCCACATTATGGGAGGTGGAGAATGGGCGACAAGTTTGTTCCTTACAAAATAGGAGGTAACAATAGTACCTGCTCATAAATTTGCCGTGAGAACTGAATTAAGTAAATTTAGTATATGAGAAGTATTTAGGAAAGTACCTAGAACATAAGTTTCACCAACTATTAGCTCTTACCTAGGCCCACGATGTGGCTTAAACACTGTGGCTACTATTTCCAGTGCACGTTGTTAATGTTGGTTGACTAGGGTGGCAGTGTTTGGGGAGAAATGGGAGTTTTTGTTAAAGGGTAGAGGATTTCTTTTCAGGGAGATGAAATCTTCTAACATCGACTGTGGTGATGGTTCTGTAACTCGGCAAATATACGAAAAGTCATTGAATTTACACTTCAAATGAGTGAATTCTATAGTATGTGAATTATATCTCAGTGAGGCTGTCTCCCCCAACACCCGCTCCCAGAATTTCTGAATATCCATCACTTACTAAAGAACTTGGCAAGAAGGCAGGCACCAAGTAATTTTGGAAAAAGCAAAGGAGTGAATGTGCGTTCATTTCTCTTTAAACGGTCTCTTTCCTGCTTTCACCCGTTATAGAAGCCTGCAATTATGGGAAGAAACGTGCAAAATCTGTATACATCATCTTTTGCATTTAGATGTTTGTTTTTATAATGTGGTAAAATTCTGTTTTGAAATATCACAGAGTCAATGCACCCAGAAGTGCTGGAAGGACCCGGAATAGTGCTAATGGTGTTAAAAAAGGAGACACATTTCAGGGCTTAATATAGAAAATATAATTTGCTCAAGTTACTCACACTGTTCTCATTTCTATGCTCTAAAGTACGACTAAGATTTAGACCAAATCTCTGGTAACATTAAAATTCATTCATTCATCCTTTCGACAAATATTTACTGAATAAGCAGCCATGCCTAGGCACAGTGCTGGGGATGTTGAACACGATTTCTCACGCACTACAGTGTGACATGTGTTTTACTACCTTTTGTTTCGTGGGCAATAGCTTTGAGAACAGAGGGGAGGGACCGGCTGAGGGCTGGAGGAGTTAAAAGCATCTTCGAGCTAAGACAAAACTCACGGCGGATGCAGAAAAACAAGTACAGGATGCCCAGGGGGAGGCTTTTCAAAATTGCTACAAAGAGCTGCCAAAGTTTACTGATTTCTCCTGGAGGGAGAAATACGCTGTTTTCACCGGTCACGGGGACGTCAGTAGGATGGACGGACGCACCTGAAGCAGTGAGTAGACAGGATCAGGGCCCCGGCTGTCACACGAGGGGGTTCCTTCGCCGCGTGGCCTCTGGCCGGCCTCCTCCACGCGGCACGGTGCTCTCGGGCCCACGCTGGCACGTGGCAGGGCGCCCTTCCGTGTCCCGGCCGAGCGCCGCTGCAGGGTGTGGGCGTAATGCTCAGCTGCGTCTGACGGGCTCCGGGTTCCTGTTCGTGTCCAGCTGCGGCCAACATCCGCGCGCAAGTGTCCGGGCGGCGCGTTCTCGTTCTCCTTGGGACCCTTCCGGGGGGACCAGGTGGCNCGTTCTCCTTGGGACCGTGCCGGCGGGACCAGGTGGCCACTCTGGGTCTGCCTCTTTGAGGGACTGTGAAAACTCGACTCACCACTGATATCAGCAGAAGTGACAGTTTCGTACAAGGCTGCTCAGGTGGGGTGCTGTCCAACCCGCAACACCAGGCCAGCTCCCACGTGTCCCGTGATACAGCCTCGTGATTTAAATAGGCGTCTAAGTGCGTCCCGCATATTTGTGCTGAAGGCTGCTGCTTACTGAGGCTCGCTGCTGGGGGTTACGGTAACGCGAACAACCTCTCCTACCAGGTTCGGAATGAGGAGCCTCGGGAAAGTGGTCCTGTGGTCATAATTCTCAATTATTTCTCTGCTACATTCCCTTGCTTACTTTCTATGTCTTAAATTCGTTCCAATATTAAAAGTCACATTTCTTCTTGTTTTAATGGACATAATTAACATAGAACCTTGAATCTGTTTTAGGTGTACAACATAAAACGTAGTTTATATACGCATAAAACGTGGCATGATTACCAAAATAAGGTTAGTTAACATCCATCACTACGAATAGTTTAAGGTGCACTCTCTTGGCGACCTTCAAACTCACAAAGCAGTGCCACTGACTGCGGTTACCGCACCGTACACGACGCCCCAGAGCTGACTCATCCTGAAGCTGGAAGTTTGCAGCCCTGACTCCCTTAATTACCTCTTTTAACCATAAATCTTGGTTCCTATTTGAAAAGTATAACTTTAAGAATTATTACACTTTGAAGAGTTAAATGAAAAACGTCACTAAAGTCTCTAAATTATGGGGAGTCAAAAATAAATCTGAAAGCACAGCACTTTGGATTCCCATGGTGCAAAATGAAGCTACACTAGCAATACAGTGACTCGGTTTGCTGATAACAGCAAGAAAGGCCCTTCCCTAAGGCGGCGGGGCCTCCACGGCCCTGTACGCTTATGCTAAGGAAACCCAAGCAGGAGCGGGCCCTGCCTCGGAGGAGCAGGCACGACTGCTGTGGCTTCATCATGCGGGTTTGGCAGAGGACTTCAAGTGGCACAAGGTCAAAAAAATCATGTAATTCACGGTTTCACGGTGTGTGTGTGTGTGTGTGTGTGTGTGTGTGTTTTAATGATAAGAGAAGAGGGAAAGAGATGGGGCACAGGAGGGAGGAAGAGTGTAAAGGGAGGGAATATTTCAAGAAACTCCTCAAAACAAGAGTCAGCTATGGAAACCCCCACGAGCGGCAGACAGGTGCGCGGTGCTGGAGACAGGGCGCTGCCGCCTGGAGGCCACGTCCCGCCGCGGGCTGCGGGGGAGCTGGGACAAGGGTGAGAACAGTGCACTGCGTGGTGTGAACACACCCGCCCGATGCCGAGACGGAAGAGGTCCCTGCTTAACACCATGTGGTTTTTCCAGTTTCTCCACATTCGGGGACTTTGGACGCTTATTAGTTTACGGCGCTTATGAATTCCTGGTACCGCGTGATTTGAAAGCAGGGAAGGAAACAGGTTTCTTAGGGTTACAGTTTTCTGGCCTTTTCTCCGTATTAAAAAATGACCACGCCCTTCGGCACTGAGAGCGCAGCGCTAAGCACGGTGCACGCTGTTCTCAAGCTGCAATGTGCCCGCTGCAGGCCCACGCCTGGCGTGAACGACATCAGTAAGCACGGTGACGGAGGAAACGGAACTCTACGGCTACGTCAGGAGAGGCGGGCTCCACAGGCGGCCTCGGCGTGCCAAAGACTTCAAAGTGCATTTTCCTGGAGGTATTAGTTAGCTAATGGGGGCATTTAAACAATTTCAAGATAGAAGAGGAAACGCTAATGTCATATTTATTATCTAGATAAAATGTTAAGCGCTAAAGGCAGGTGGCACCGGAACACTGAGCCCGCCCGCACGCACTGCTGAGGAAACTTGGTCACCACGTTTTATATGAAAATAGACTCACGGCTAAACTCTTTGATGGGTCTGCGTGCCCTTGAAGATCCACTAAGGCTGAGCTACGATGCTGACACGTAAGAATTCAGCCGTGACCACGAGAGCGTCACGGCCAGGCCCTCCTTCCACTCCCTTCCTGCGCCACCCGGGCACGTGGTGCCCACTGGACCCCGATGCCTCTCTGCGTGTCAGCCCGCTTATCATTCTCTCTTGAGATGACAACTCCAAACAGTACCCAGCGCGGGGAGAAAATGCCGGAACCACCCGCACTCTTCTTTCCCTGACGCCCTGCGGACGTGTCTTTACGCTCCAGGAGGAGTTAGCGAGGAAACAGGCCGCCTGCCGGCTCCAGCGGCTTCTGAGGGTGCGGGAGCTCCTACCCGTGCTGGTGGGACAAGGCCGTGACGTCGCCCCGGGCACCGCGCCCGTCCTGCCCGCCCCCTGCTGCCGCCGCCGCCTAGCGGAGTAACGGGCCGCAAGGACGAGCACATCGGCAGATAAAAAACAGCCTGAGCCAAGCCCTTGGCACGGTTGCCATGGCCCTGTCACTAGTCCTTCGTCAGTACTGCAGAGCGCTGTCCAAAGGCCGGGCCGGCCCCGCCTGCCCGTATCCGCAGCCCGCCACGCACCAGCCGCTCAGCGAGCACGGGGTGGGCGAGGACCGGGACGTGCCGGAGGGAGGCGGCCACTAGAGCCTGACCGCCCCTTCCTCTGTCTTTCACTGAATAAGCAGCATCCCCAGTGAACAGCTCAGGCCCAGAACTTACGGTCATCTTCCCCGCCATCTTCCCCGCCGTCTTCCCCGCCATCTTCCCCGCCGTCTTCCCCGCCGTCTTCCCCGCCGTCTTCCCCGCCGTCTTCCCCGCCGTCTTCCCCGCCACCTTCCCTGTCATTCTCTCCCTTAAACTTCTTGCTATTAAGCCCTGGTCCTGTCTCCGGAACAAGAGCAACAGTCCCACAGCACATCTCCCTCCCGGACACGTGTCCGCCCCAAGAGCAGCCCGGCGGCCCTCGGGACAGAAGGACAGTCACGTCACTTCCGTCCTCTGGCCCCCCCGCGGCTCCCTGCTGCCCACCAGGTGTCACCCACACTCCTGACCACGGCCCCGGGGCGTCCTGGCTCCCGCCTGCCCCCTGACCCCCCCCCAGCCGCGCTCCAGCTACACGACTTCAAGTTTTGGGAATAAGCCGACTCCTGACCTGCAGGTCGTCCCGCTGCCTGGCACACGCTTCCCTCACCCCTTTACAAGGCTGGCACCCATCCTCCGGACAGCGCCTCAAATGCCATCCCACAGAGATGGGCGCAGGACCACCCTGGGTCCGCGGCCCCGTCACTGCCTCCTTCCCGGGTGGGTCGCGGCCGGGCTTCTTGCCGCCAGCCCGCCGCTGGCCCGTTATTTGTCACCACGTGAGCCCCAGAGGGCAGGGCCTCTGCCTGTGTCTTCTCAGTAAAACGCCTGCTCCACCTACGGCCACTGGATCACCAAGTACGACATTCCCGCCACCATCCGCGCGCCCTCGCCTCTGCCACCCCGGTGCCCAGCAAGAGGAGGCGGGCGACAGACGCTGGGCGACGTGCACGAAGGACCTTACGGCCTTTGTTGCTGTCAGGAGCACCACCCAGAGAGGCCTCCTTCGCGGAGATGTGCGCAGGAGAGCGAGACCGAGCGGGAAAGCCGAGCTCTCTCGGTGGAGGGTGGCCCGGGCCATCGAGCGCCAGAAGGACACGTGGGGAGTGGGCTGCGGGCGCGGGACAGAGGGTGTGATTTCCTACGTATCCGATAGTCCCTAAATCCACCCCGGCGTGTGGCGATATGTGCATTATGCTCTTGCTTTCAACACGCAGGGACACGGGCTGGTAGCGGCCCCGCCAACGGACTTGGTGCAATAAAGCGGCCGAGCGGAAAGCTCCGCTCGGAGAGCGACGCGCCCAGCCCCTCGCCCGTTCAAGGCAGCGAGTATCTTCTGAGAGCTTCCGCCGGCCAAGCGCCGAGCTTGATGCCGGAATAACACACTGAAGGCGCTGCAGTCTCTTACCCAGAGGGGCGCCCAGGTTTTCCGTAACTATCAGAGTCGTGCCCTGTGGAGTCGACGGCATTTTAAAGTCGATGCCTTGGCTGGATATAGAGAGTATGCGCCCGTGGGTGCCACACGAGGGCTGCAGGGAAAGAAAACAAAAGCAATAGGCAACTCAAGATCCAGGCGATGGCAACTGTCTCCGAGGCTGGGGCGATGAATTCTGTAAGAGACATTTAACTCCGATAAATATAAGGTTCTGCTCTCGAGCTCAAAACACCGCTCGCATGTTTCCAAAGTGGAGGTGATGTGAGCATAAGCGCTGACACAGAACCGCACGGGGTTTTAATTTAGAGCGCTCTCCGTAAGGATCTGTTATAGCACAGCCGTCGCAGACACCGGTGTCACCTTTCGGTGCCTTTACAAGGGAGGAATCAGCCCTGGCCGGTCAGGCCACACGCAGGCTGCTGCCCAGGGCGGGAGCCGCGCCGTCGGAAGGGGCTCGGAGGGGCCCGGCCAGGCCATGCCGAGGGTGCCTGGGGCCAGGGCACTGGCGTCGCTAAGACTTCGGCCACTGAAGGACCTGCACAGGAGGCTGGAAGGCAGCGAGGGGGATGGTGGGGAAGGAGGGAGCTCATGACCCGCTCCAAACAGGCAGAGGGCAGGTGTGAAAAGACGTGTCGGACCCCTTACCTGGGACCCCAGGACAAAGAATTAGGAAGCCGCAGGGAGAGAGAGAGACTCTGATCCGCCGCGTAAGGCCGGACACCGCACTGTGCTGCGCAGCCTGAGCCATGAGACAGGGCAGGGCCGCCTTGGCCGTGGGGGCTCCTCCTGGCGAAGGCGTCGCACTGGAGACCTGAACACTGAACAGGTGACGGATCGAATGATTTCTAGGCCCTAAGATTTTTTTTTTTTATAATATGTTTTTATTGATTTCAGAGAGAGGAAGGGAGAGGCAGAGAGAGAGAAAAACATATTAAAGGAAATTAGCCCTTTTATCATCTATATTTAAAGTTTTTCAACTTTTTAAGCTGTTTTTTTTAAAACAGTTCATCACTTATACATTATTCATAATATCATGTATCTTGAAGGAATTCTTAATTTCTATGCAGCCTTATTTACTGTTTTTTTATATATTTAGATATATATTTTATATATTTATATATTTATGATATCTTCTGCATATATTCCTTTAAAAACTTAAAGTCAAATCTCATTACTAATCATTAATGATGATGTAAACTCCACAACAGAGAAAATATGTTTTAATGATTTCATAGGGTTTGCAAGAATTGGGGGGGTTTTGAGGGCATAAATTTGTCATTTTTGTAGTTATGCCACAGGAATATCTTTTATAAAGTTACAGCACCGCTTTATTCCTTAAGAAAAATTGAATATTTAGGGACATTCTCCAACTCGAAGCCCACGAGGAACTAAGTATTCCTCAGAGGAATGGGGAGAATTACTTTGCTTAGAGCATAAACCTCAGTTAGAGACGATAGCTGTGTTTGCATGGGGTATTTTTAAAATACGTTGACACAGTGACTCCAATTATTTTTAAAAGCACCAGGGTAGCTGAGAAACATTGCTGTTTTTAAAATGTTCCTCAGTACAACTAATGAATTTATAAACTAGGTAATTGTTTCCTTTGGGGTCAGAAGTAGGTTTAATGTTAGAGAAGAAACCAAAATAAATGTGGCCGGCTTTGCTCGGATCAGGGACGGCACTGGCACCCTTACCCCTTGCCGTCCCCAGAGCTGGTGACACGGTGGCCGCAGCAGGGCGCAGAGATGCCCCTCGCTTCCTCGCCAAACACAACAAAACAAAAAACTCAACCAACCGACCCAGAGTCCACTGGCAACATGGTTCTATAAAAGAATGGCTATTTTAACACCAAAAAGGACATTTGCCCAAACCACCTCCCAGGACAGAAACACAGACCCTGCCGACCGTCCCTTCCCTCGTTTCCGGGCGGGAGGCCACCCGCCAACCGACGCTCGGAACCCGCGTCCTGCCCAGTGACTGGGGCTGATGAACCCCAGAGTCCCAAAGCTTAAATATTTAAAAAACCGCTGAGCTGCTTATGCACAAAGAGTTCCTGTTAATTTTAGCAGAATGTCTCCAATAATTCTTTGCTTTTCCTTCTTTGACCTGTAACCCGGGAGGATCTCCCGCCTGCGTGTCCTGCATCAACTTCAAGAGGCACCGCACTCGGCCCACTGGGAATGTCCCTATTTACCCACGTTCGTCCCAGGAAAACAAAACCACTGGAAAGCGGGTGCCGACAGTGGGCGCGGGGGCTCCCGCGAGCCATCCCTCATTGGCGAGCCCGTCCTGCAGGGACTGGGTGTGGGTCACCTGCAGCTCCGGCCCCACGTGTCCTGAAACCAACAGAGCCCGGGCCGAACACGTCTCTTACCCGCCCCTCACGCAGGCTCACGCAGGCAGCCTCGTGGAACAGTCCAGAGCACAGGGGTGCAGCCACGCGGCCACCGCGATCGCCAGCCCTGACGTGTGTCTGCCACCTGCTCAGGTGCCCTGCCTCTCTGAGCATTGCTTCCCTCCTTTACAAACAGCAGTTGTACGGAGCTGTCGTGATGACTCGCTGAGTGGGTCCCGGGGGAGCGTTAGAACGGGACCTACACAGTCAGCACTCAACAGTGCTGGCGCTGTGCCCGGTCCCTGCCACGTCCCCACACAGTGCGCGTCCCCCCTGAGCCATAAACGCCCTGCCCAGTGGGGCTACAGTCTATGGGGAAAGACAGGCTGAGACAACCGTGCAAACTGAAAACTGCAACTTGAACACACGATACTAAGAGGACACAGGTGTGACTGCAGCCTGTGTGTGGTCTGTCTGTGGCTGTGTCCCCGTGGCCTGACCTTCCCCGAGGTCTGAAGGGTGAGCTGGAACGACAGGCGCAGAGAAGAGCGCGGGGCTCGGGGAGAAAGAGCGCGGCCTACCCCCGGCCTCCCTTCCTCCCCGGCCTGAGTCGCGGCCGTTCCACAGCGCAGAGTCCAGGAGCAGCCCAACACCGCAGGGGCTGGCAGGAGCCTTACCGCAGTTAGCATCTCCTCTAACGCACACAGCCCCCTCACCTCCACGCAACGGGCAAGAGCCCGCGCCCCGCGTCCTCTGCTGGCGGCCGGGCGAGGAAGGGCTGGCACAGCGCACGCTCGGCTTGCAGAGGGCGCCCGTTTCCAAAGGGCGCCCGGTCCCGCAGGGGACAGGCCACAGCGCGGCGCGGGCCGCCTCGGAGCGCGCACATTCCCATGCGACGCCTAAAGGGAAGCATCACCCTTGTCCTCGGAGCCAGAAGCCTTGACCAGGCTCTGCCAATGTCATTTTCTACAGTCGCTCAAGCTTAAAAAACTGCTGCCAATTTTCTTCTTGCCTGATGACCTGTGTTACAGTTAATCACCAGCTGCCATGGGTCCTCCTTAGAAACACCCCGCCGTGCTGCTGGCCTGCCACCGAGGTCCTCACGCCGCCCCTGGGCCCCGCACCACCCTCTGGGGCCCCTTCCCTCTTTTGCTACAATCCCATCATCTTCTCTCCGGCCCCAGCCTCCCTCCCCGGGCATCCTCTGTGCCGCCCGAGCGCCTCCTCCGTTTGTAAAATGTTTTAAACGAAACTACGAATGAGTCCGAGGCAGCTGTGCAGCTGGACGGTGGCCGCGGCCGGGGGACACCGCCGCTTGGACGTTAGAGTTTAGACCGATGTGCGCTGGCCGTCTGGCTGTGCGCTGAGCACCTGTGTGACCTCCCTCAAGTTTCTTTTCCTGGTGTGAAAACCTGGGTTGACTCAGTACCTCCTGCCGTTATTACAATGATGTGAGATGATGCATGGAAGATGCTTAGCGCAGTGAGAAATTCTGAATAAATGTGAAAAGAAACAGCCTGCCCTTCAGCCTGGCCCTCCCTCGCCCCTCGGGTAGGGCGGACAGAGCCTCCTGTGGACAGAGGCCTGGCCCGTGGCGTCAGCGATGCGACACGCAGAGGGAATCGTACCGAGTCACTTCCAAACGTGCACATAATCTAAATACCGCATTTTAAACCAGTCTCACACCGACTTATTTTCTGTGAAAAACCAAAGGCAGAGACACATCTGAGCTAGTGAGGGGAACTGCCTACTTAGCTGGGATTAACCAGGCTCCTAATTCACAGGATATTTCACCAAGGATTTCCAATAACTTAAAAGAAAATTATTGAAATAGGTACAAATTAAGGAGTTTTCTTGAAACACCCTTATTTTGCTCAAACTCTCTTAACGTGGGTGAAGGTCTCTTAAAGAATGCTTAGGTCTCAACAGTATAGATAAGATGATGAATTGTGGAGAACTCCGCTGGTGGAACAGTAAATTCGTATTTGCTTGCATGGGTAACTTCTACATCCTCGCAATGGATTTTACAAATAGGGAGCATGTATTTCGTGGCAATAAGAGGCGCACTCGAGCAGCCAGATCTACAGCTACCTCTTTATCACTGTCAGGGCTGGAAAAAATCTCGGAAAAAGGTCCCACTTTCCCAAAATACCAAGCACATGAACTTGGATTCATTTAGAAGAGTGTACTCCTCAGTACACAGTCATTGTTTCATACCACACAAACCTCTCTGCAGACACACGTACACACCCAGAAGCTGAAAGAGGGAGCCAGGGACACGTGGGTTAAACCCCAGCTCTGCCCGGTGATCTTGGCCACGTCACCCTCCACAGCAGCCGCAGTCTGCTCTTCCGCAAAACAGAAATACTCTCTCTGATAGTCATGAAGATTAAGGTAGATATTATACCTACGGGTGCCTCATGGAATGTGTGACACATGAAAGCAATGGATACATTGTAGCTATAATTATGTACGTGAGAGATCTGAGATTAACCTCTTTCCATGTTCTTTAGTCTTCCAATGCTAGACTTTTATAACTGTATTTAAATGTTGATCTGCTGTTGTCTTGGTTTGCAATAAAATCATCTTAATAATAAAGACCTTGACATTCTTCTAAACCTCCTTTAGATGGAATCCAATAGGAAGTATCCTATGTGCACAGGTATATATGTTCTTATTTTACATGTAACAGGATATTTCTAGATTGATTTTATAGATGTTGTAATGGCCAACCTGGATAAATTCCAAACCGCCCTTTA